AAGCAATGGAAATAAAGCTCCCCATAAGAGAATTATAAGTACTTTCCACAAAATTCTTTTGCAATTAAGATCAAATTTGTTTAAGGACGCCCAAAATATGCAATAGAAAATTGCAATGCACTTAAGAGCACACAGCACAGCCTAAAAAGGTGCCTCTGTGTGAATGTGTGTGTGTGTGTGTGTTTAGTAGACAATTTGTAGATAAAACACATTCAGCATCGCCTCAAGCAAAATACAAATCCCTGACAGCTTAGGCCGAAAAACCTAAAGAGCAGCACCGACCACAAGCACTAACAAAAAAGGAAAGAAAAGGAGTGTTTAGCCCGGGCTGCTTCCGTTGCCAACATTAAATACTTTTTAAAAGTAAATACGGATTTGAAGCGAACGGCCAACGAGATAAGCGCCACATGGCCAGACTCGGGGCTCAGCCTCAGCCTCAGTTGGAGCCTGAACCACAGCAAACCACCAACAAGGACCGACGAACACTTTTCAAATCCCAGCGGTACATGCATGCTGAATGCGGCAATGTGCTCTACTGCATGTCCTGGCTCAGATTACAACATAAAATGGCGGCGGCGTTCACATCCGCCTTCGTCTGCTCGAGCATCTGGATTGGGCTGGGCTGGGTTGGGCATATATGCGCTTTCTATTAGGCTGCAGTCAGCAGCGACAGCAGCAGCTAAAATGCAGTCAGCCATGCAGGAGGACAACCGTAACATGACGTTTCCGTGTCCGTGTCCGTGTCCTGGCGCTGATGCTGCGCTGCCACTGGTTACGGCAGCTGCTCAACGAGCACCGCTGCCAGTTGGAGCCAACTTTTCGTCGGTCTGATATTTCAGCAATGTTGTTGTTGTTGTTGTTGCTGTTGCTGTAACTATTGCTGATGTTGTTATTGCTGTTACCTGCCCAACTATGTTGCAGACACAAATGTAGTTTTCTTTTCTTCTTTTTTTTGGAGACACGCCATGCATGAAGCGTAGTCGAGTATATTAGCTTGGCGACATGTGAGCATGAAGCATGGAGAGAGAGAAAGACTGGAAGAGAGAAAGGGCTTAACA